CCGCACCCTCCCGGCTACTCTAAGTATACTAGTGCTCAAAAGAATATTTTGAATATTTTTAGTGCTGTCAAATTTCTGCCTTTTTCAATGTGATTTATAGACACTGACAAATTATTGGGAGGCTGGTTGGTTTGAAGAATGAGGCAAGGGATCAAACTAAAATTTTGGAAGGTAAGTTAATTGATTTTCTTCTTTGGTTCACAACTACTGCAATTATAGTATCATTGGTGTAATATATAACTTCTCCCAAAGGTTACTATAATTAAATTTATATTGAAAGACTATATTTGGTATGATGTTTAAAACTTTTTTTGTAGTTTCACTTCTGTTCTATGTGTTGATAACATAGAAATGTGAAAAAAAAGCAACTACCATAAAACGGGATAATTTTACATGTCTGATCTGTTTGATTTGAAATTCTACATGAGGCCATGAGCCAAACTACTTTCTTGTTTTGTCAGTAATAAGGACAGAATTTCCCTTGTTAAAGTTCGACCCATATTGAAAAGCACATGATCTTTACATCAATACCTGTAAAGATGACCACTTTGCTTCTTCTACAGTCACTTTAGCAAAGGGTTCCCAGAAAATGCCTTTTTCCTGTTTCACACGTTCAACTCTGGCAGCTTCAGTTTCATCTACAAGCCCAGTCTGCCAGAGACCATGAAAAAACAAGTAAACGTCAACTTGTTAGCAAGCACTCTCTACTAGATATCACATGGTGTAATATTCAGAAAATGAAAAGGCCAAATAGTTTGTGTGTTTGGGTGCTGATTGTTAAACCATTCTGGGCTTAGCCTGTGGATGAGGCAAATTCTGGAAGTTAGTTGTACCCATCTGTAAATGACTCTCATTAGTGTAATCTAGATAAAAATCACTCTACAGTGTTCTTCCCTACAGAAAAGTTAGAGTCCTCTTTCCAGGAAAAAATGATAGGCTAAGAAATTGGCAACAGCAATGTATACACGTGTAATTAAAATCCAGCTTACATGTGATATAAGTAAAATATGTAATATAGTACAGGTTGAGCATCCCTAATCTGAAAATCTGAAATCCAAAACTTTAGAGCACTGATGTGATGCCACAGTAGAAAATTTCACACACATTTTCCCACTGTATTAATAGTATGTCATATTTTTTGCTGTTAAGAACTTATGTGTGAATAAGTATAAGAAAATGATTGCTTCTTGGTAGCATATAAATTCAGTCAGGATGATGGTGATGCCAAACAACTAGATTATCAACATGGGTGGCTGAGATAGTGACACCTTTGCTTTCTGATGGCTCAATGTATGCAGACTTTGTTTCATGCACAAAATTATTAAAATATTGTACAAAAGATCTTCAGGCTATGTGTATAAGGTGTATATGGAACATAAATGAATTTAGTTATTTAGACTTGAGTTTCATCCCCCAAATATTTCATTATGTATATGCAAATATTCCAAAATCTGAAACACTTCTGGTCCCAAGCATTTCAGATAAGGGATACTCAACCTGTATCTATGTGAAAAATATCTATTACATGTGTGCATATATCTGTGTATATGTGTATATAATTACACATAATATATAAAATATATATAGCCCAGTTTAATAATTGGAATATTATAAAAAACAAAGAAATAGGCATAATTCATTTTCTCCTGGTATTCTAAATTTGTGGTTTAACAGTTCTGTTATTACTTCAATTAACCTTTAACTTACATCCTATCACCATATATGATTCAAAGTATGTGGAAACTTGGGAGCCATGTGATTCAAAATTTTGGTTCTAACTGTAAAAACAGCTTTAAAAATAACGTCACAACCTTGGAAAAATAGGCCTTGGCCTCAATCATTATAGAAAAGCCATGCTTAAATTATACCTAAAATATAGTATTGAACATGATCCTCTCAGGACTAAATTATGTTAAGTACAGGTGTATCTAATTATGATTTAATACTAGCTTATGGATCCTCAGTCATCTCATTGTCTGGATAATCAATGCAAGTGTATCCCAAACTACAGGCAGAGAAACTTAAGGTGTTTTACTTCTGTAACTTACATTATGGTCTCGATTGCTTAGTAAAGACCTCTGTCAGCACTGTGCTAAGCACTGTGAAAAGTTTAAGCTAAAAAGATATTAAAGGTGGTTACAATTACATGATTTCAAAAAAAAAGAAAAAGAGACCTCTGTCAGCACTGTGCTAAGCACTGTGAAAAGTTTAAGCTAAAAAGATATTAAAGGTGGTTACAATTACATGATTTCAAAAAAAAAGAAAAGGTAATATGATAAAGAATAAAATATGGGCTACATAAATAAAATACCTTCTCCAGAAAGGATATAACTTTGTCCTTAGTTTCTTCAGAACTGAGACACTGTGGAACTATCTCTTCATGATTTGTTCCCTATTAAAAGATTGATAAGACCAATTTTACCATGTTTCAACAACTTGCAAAGACAAACACATGACTTTTAAGAGCTACCTTAATAAAAATTTATTTAAAAAGAAAATCCTCAGTACCAGAGGATACTCAAAAATGATAAGTTCATAGTTCTTTCAGGGTGCCTTTGGATAATATAATGTTAACTTCTGTGCAAGTTTATTGTTGCAAGCTTTAATTATTTCTGCTCAGTCATACTCATGCCTCTGGACTCCCTTATGACCAAAGGCATGACAGCAGAGCAACAGGTAAGAGTAAACAGCACTGGGTAAGTGCAACGTATGGCAGGGGTTACCTTCTCCACAGAGCCAGACTAACAGGTTTAGGTTCATCAACCTAACCCTCATAATAGTTTGAAATGAAATGGATTATTTAACCCAAAAATACTGTCTGGAAGACAGTGTCTGAGGTAGTACACCTGGTATAAATGCCTGTTCCAGTCCCTGTTGATCAGTATACCTTAGTAGGGAAGTCACTTCGTTTCTCTAGGCCTCATTTTGAGATCAAGTGAAATTGACAATTAGTATGCCCTCCAGCAGAATATTTTTGACTAAGATACAGAAGCAGCACAATAAGTGTTTCTAGAATGTTTTGGAATATTTGAAATATTAAAATATTCTGGAAGTCATAGTGATAAATTGGTCTTATAATTACCTCAGCAAACTGAGTAAATGCCTCCAAGGTATGTTGTTCTAGCAGCCAATTCCTGTCAGCTAGGAGTATGGCAAAAACACATGACAGGTTGGGCAGAATTTTGTCCTAAAAGAGAATCAAACCATGTTAAATAGACAAAAAGAATAGGGTACGTTCAATACACCCACGTACATTCAGAGTCCACTGTCCCAGTGAACTCCTGTTAAAATGTTAGGTCATATCACTCCTTACGCTCAAATCCTTTCCAAAGCTTACCACTTCCCTCAGAGTAAAAGCCAAAGTCGTAATGGCCCGCAAAGCCCCACAACCTCTGTGTTAGCTCTACTGGCTTTCCTGAATATATCAGGCATGATCCAATCTCAGACGCTTTTCACCTGCTCTTTCCCCTGCTCGGAAGACGCCTTCTCTAGATACCTGCATGGCTTGCTCCCTTGCCTTCGAGTTTCTATTTACATGTCACCTTAGTGAGGATTCCACTGACTATATCCCATTTCAAACTGTACCCCCACATACATATTCCCTGTCCCCTTTCCCTGCTCTGTATTTCTCCATAGCATTCACCACTATAATATATTATGTATATCATCATGTTATTATCTGTTGCCTCTCAACAGTCTTGAGAGTGGGGATTTATTAATGTGGTTTATTATCATATCACCAATGATTAAAATAGCACCTGATACAGCAAGAACTCAATAATTTTTCTTGAATGGATAAATGAATCCATCTCATATCTGTGAATGCCTACTATATGCTGATGAATCCCCAAACTTTCTTCAGGCCCTGACCTCACCTGGGAATATATAAGTCACTGTAATTTCTGCTAATAAAACATTTGTTCCATAGGTTCTGAGCCCATGCATGGTCCATAGCTATGCACAAATGAAGCAGCATTTTGGAATAAACTTATTTTATGATAAGAAGTAGACAGCTCAAATGAAAGTATCTTTGGATACTTTTGACAAGAGAATTGAAAAAATGCTGTCAACATCTACACTTATCTCATGAAACACAGCCTTACATGATGGAGAAAGATGGTACAGTGTTGTTTACTTGTGAACAAATAAAAGAACACTTGAGAAATTAATCAGTTAAATTTTTGGTTTCAAAGATTTTAATCAACAGGTACTGAGATATTGTCTATCATGTGTTTGCTCTGATTACATAAAGTTCTTATCAGTGAGCTCTTTTTACAGTCTCTCCCTTGGAGGTTAAAAAACAAAATGTCAGCTACCTAGGATTGTTGGATTTTGATTATATTAATAAGGAAGGAAAAACTCTTAATTTAGGAGGAACTCCTTTTACTGTGAGGTCTTAAAATTCAGTTGTTGTGTAAATGCCAGGCCATTTCAGTACAATTTTATAAATAAATATCTTTTTGTCAGCAATACATACTTTGCAACATTTTTGAAAGTACTCTCTTTATAAAGAACCAGCTCCCTTTCATGGATATAAAGCCAAGAAAATAATTTCAATAAATTACCAAATTTCCTAATTATACAATGTTCTCTAAAAGATATAAATGTTTTCCACCCTCAGGAACTGTGTGCTACAGCCCAACTGGAATCAGAATCTCATCTTAGTCTACAGCCGACCCGATAAATTATGTATATGTCATTATATTTTTTTCTATAAGAAAATAATTTAAAATGAGTTTTATTTTTGACATTCACACTCTGGAAAATCCATTTCATATCTCCCAAATTTCATTATTAGTAATCCACATTGTTTCAGAAATTAAAAGCCTACAAATCCCTCAGAGACTTTGTTTTTAATAACACAAAAACAGAATTAAGAGGGTATTACCTGGATAGCTTGAGGTATAACAAGTTTTCCTAGAGAAGATAAAAAATCCAGCATTGCTAGACGAACGTAGTCAGGAGGCTCTATTTTAAGTAGTGAAGTCTGCAGAGTTACTACCTAAAGAAGCGAAGACCAAAGGACAGTTATGAATGAAAACAATACAGACGCTATGACTACCGAAGTTATGGATGGGAATGTGGGGAGGGGAAACAAAGTAAAACCCCAAACAACCAAATACTCCACAGAGCCTGAACTTCGCAGGTGGGATATAAAGAAGGCAATCATGAACAAACAAGTCAATTACTACAACATTCTTCTTACTACACCCTCCTGCCTACAGTCACTGTTAAAAAAAAAAAAAAATACATGTGTTCCTGAAAAACTTTATATATCAGACCTTGGGGGGTGGGGAGGTAGCTAGGTGGTATGGGGATATGAACCATTGACCTTTGCATTATAACACTGTATAAAACCTTTAAAAATTATTTTGTATTTTAAATCCTACTGAGAGAGGTTCATTATTTAAAGCAAGGACTAGCAAACTTTTACTGTAGTGAGCCAAATAGTAAATATTTTAGGCTTTGCAGGGAACATGTTCTCTGGTTGCAGAGTCTTATTTTTTATGTTACAAATCTTTAAAAATGTACAAATCATCCAACTTGGACACGGTTCTTACCTGAACTATCAACTGAGGATCTAGAGTTTGAATGAAAATTCCCAACAGTGGAAGTAAAAGGCTGAATGTCTGTTGAACATACGGTTGACCTGTTACCTTACATAAGAAACACAAAATAATTTTGGTAAAAATTTTCAATTACATGGTCTGTAATAGCAACCTTTTATTGAGCATTTATTACAGATTATCAGGCAATATGCTAAGTACTTTAATATTTATAACTTCACTTATGCCTTACAAAAACTCTATAAGGTAGATATTATTACCCTCAATTTACTAGTAAGAAGACAGGGTCAGAGAGGTTAAATAATTTGCTCAAGATCACATGGCTAGGAAAAAGAGCCATGATTCAAATCCAGATATAACAGTAAAGGAGATTTAATTACTTTTGTCTGTCACTGAAAAGCCTATATGTTCCTTAGTCTTTTTAAAATTGCATTTTTCTTCTCCATAATTACATATATCATAATTCTGTAAGCTATATCCTCAGCACAGATATCCTGAATGACTATTTATTCAACGATTTGTAAGCATTAGGGGAAGGCACCTGAAGTCAAAATACCGCAGTAGGGCAGGGCAGTCTGACCATAAGTAAATATTAAAGATAAAACATTATCTGCAAAATCACTTCTATTATTTCCCCAAAGTATGGATGTTGCCTTCAGCTTCCAACTTCAGCTTCAGTTGCCAGAGGAAACACATTTACTTCTACTTAGTCAAAGAAAACGAACATATTTTAAACTGTTAAACTAAGAAACTTAAGTTTACAATCATGTGGGATATGTATCATTCTAATTTTAGCCCAATTATCAGCTTCTTGGCTTTGCTGAGAAATAAGAATACAAATTAGCCACATCCAATCACTTGTTCCTTCCACCTTTAAGTCAGATCACTCTCCATTGCCCAAAAGATTTTATAAAAGATCCTAGAATCACTAAAATAGGCTGCCTTAACCTGAGAGAAAGACAATAGAAGAGATTTAAAAAAAAAAAAAAAAAAAATTTAAAAAAAAAAAAAAAAAAATTTAAAAAAAAAAAAAAAAAAATTTAAAAAAAAAAAAAAAAAAATTTAAAAAAAAAAAAAAAAAAATTTAAAAAAAAAAAAAAAAAAAAGGGTCTAACCAGTTATGAAAATAAGTAGATGGACTGTCACTCTTACTTTACTGTATTTGAATTTTATTAATAAAATGCTATCACACTCTGGAAAAGAACTAAGAAAGTACAAATAGGTATTTTAAGTTCTAATCACAAGTTCTAACAAGCACCTAAAGAAATTATATAAATTTTACTCTACAGGGAAATTTCAGTACTATTCTTTTTTCAATTTTCTTTTTATTCTTCAGGGAAATGATCAGTTGCTTCCCTTACCTGTTTAATGTTTAAAAATGCCCAAAGCTGACACCCAACTTCCATAATTGCAGTTTGTCGTCCAATATCCAAAGCTTCACCAGCAGAATTACATACAGCTAGCAAAGCAGAGAGTACTAGATTCTAAGGGAGAGAAAGAGGAAAAGGACCTGAATCTAGACACCAGTCTAAAAGACCAAGAGCCCAATCTAGAGGTTGTAAGAATTACTTATAACTCTTTTTAAAAGTCCATGTAGAATAATATTCCTCAGAGCCAAAGACATCTTCTCAGCTATTTATCTAATACATGTATATTTTAGTAAAAATAACTTTCAGAAAGTTCGCTTCATTTTTCTAAATAAATCTTTTTTCCTTTTAGGTTGAAAACTTAACTTAAAATGGAAACAGCATTGTATTTTAATAGGTTGATACAGTGGTCAGTATGGTCAAGCTAATTTACAATATTCATCAACAAAAAGCTCTATTTTTTCACATTATGCACTCAGTGATCTTTCTAGGTTACTAAATGTTTACTGTTCCTGCTTTAAAATTTAAAATTCCTCAGCAGCAGTACAATTAATAAGCATATTTAGTACTTAAGAAGTACACTATCTGGAATTTGAAACTAAAAATCCTTTTTGGATTCACTCTTATCTACATGTGAAGATACTCAAATGTCTCTAACTGGCCAGGAAAGGGGTCATCTGGGGTGAGGTGGGTGTAGGGTGAAGGTGAAGGCCATATGAGAATCTAATGATCAGTAACAATGAATGCCTTTAATCCATTATACATCGACAGCCACACCTAATTTTATGTAATTACCATATAGCTTCTTATTTAAAATTTACCTATTTCCTTTTACAAATAAACATATTCAGTGACCTGCTAGACTAAAGTTTTGGTTTTAGCTCAGAGATTTATTCAGTTTTTGAAAATTGGTGCTTTTATTTTACCTAATATAAAACAAAAGATCTTTTGTCTTTCCTGTCAACACTGGTGCATGTTAAATGCAAAACCTAAACAAATTTAACCCACTCCTAACTAGGTATTTAATAGCTTTTACAAAATACAGGCATATAAAAACTTATTTCCTTCGGATATATACGTTTTCAGTTTTCTTAATAATTATGGTCAAGTGCCATTACATAACAGACTATCAGAAAATTTATACTCAGCATGGAAACATACATGCTCTGAGAAAACCCTGAATTCCTAATTTAAAATTGCAAATAGGCCTCCAGCTCCTAGAATGCCGTCCCTATCCTTGATTTTTTTCCAATGCTATTTCTTATTTATTTTACGGTCCATTGCTAAGCTAGAAGATAAATCTATGAGAGAAGAAATTTGTTTTGTTCCCTGAGATATCCCCAATGCCTAGAACAGAGCTTGGCACATAAGAACACTCAAAATATATTTGTTGAATGAATGAATGAGCAAATAAACACTAAACTATAAAATTCAACTTCCTACACTACATCCAGCCAACTTTTAAAAATCATATATTTTCTACTTCACATAGTAGATGAGTCTTTTTTTATTCCATTGTTTTATGAGGGAACTTTCTAAATAGAAAAGTATATAAAGGCTCAGAGAGTAGGTGTGCATAAAATGGGGATTGTATTTTGTCAAATAGAAGAATCATGTCTGCCAAATCCAGAGATGTCTCAGCAAAAATGCGACAACTGAAGTTTTTCATAGTGTGTTTCATGTTGTCCCAATGTGTCTTTATCAATAGAGGGACAGAGGGATTCCTCCCCTGCAATATATCAATGGAGATAACAGTAAGTTTCTCATAGGTCCTTTTACAATGTAGAAATCTGAAAATCTTGCTTGGTTCTAGCAGAGACTATGTCCACCTTATTAACAACCTGTCCCTAGTACCTAAAACAATGCCTAATAAACAACTGCTGAATGAACTGCATCAATCAAAATTATCATCTCACCAGAGACCCAAGTTCTCCCAAAGTGCGACTGCTGTTCATCCATTTCCTGCACTGTGCGGTGCCTACTCTGATGACCTCATGTGCAGTTTGTTTCCTAAGCTCAGCAGATAACGCCTGGAAGGAAATACATTGCCACAAAGGCAGATTTTCTGCTTCTTTGGGTGAAAATCTCTGGATAAATTCCACCTGAATTAAATTGTTAAAGAAACAAGACATACATGAGACAGTCAGATGAATGGATACACAAGAGTTAAGTATTAGCTTCCATATTTCATATTTTAAAAACACCTTTTAATTGCATGGTAATATCACTAGGTACCAGACCATGGTAACTTAAATGAATATGCATTATTATTTTTGTTGTTGCTGCATTTGTTCCCCAAATGAAAAACAGTTAAGTGGAGCATGATATAAATGCATTAAGAAATATTAAATAATGTATTATTAGTCGCATCAGATATTTCATCATGCTCCTACCCAATAAGTCTGATTTTCCTAAGTATGCATCACCTTGTACAGTTGACAGTAATATACCATATATGCAAAGAAGATTGATTTAGTCAACCTCTGTGTCTTACTGTTATCCCAGTTGACTATAGTAGAGAACTTAAAGAAGCAAAGATCTTAGGTTCAGTTTTTAAATAGGTTAGCTGGCTCTGCTCTACACTAAACAACACACTAAATTAGTTTCACAAAGATAAACCACAAATCAAAAATAGTGGTTTGCAAATCCATTCTACTACTGAAATAATTCAAAGTGCTTAGTGGATTAACAGAGAAGTAGCACTGTTTTAAGATGCTGTGTCAACAGATTAGATAAAAATGGGAAACTAAAGTTCTAACAAAACACTTAAAATGCTGAATTAGTTTTTGGTAGAAAAACAGCAAAACAATGGTGTGCTTAATTATTTAAATTAAGTGTAATTCAACTAGGAAGTATATTTGTATGTTTTTCTAAGAAGCAGAATAATTCAATTCACAATATCCAAAAGCTACTTAATGAAAACTTTTCTACATCAAAAACTAAAAATAAAACCCACCATATTAAATTTGACAGAGAAGCTTGTCTGTCAATAAACTATATCTGTATTTGAATTTCTTTCTTCTTTTTATTTTTTGGTGGCTGGCCAGCACAGGGATCCAAACCCTAGAACCTTGGTGTTACAACACTGTGAATTTATTTCTTTTAAAGAAAGTAGCTGTCAAAATAAGCATTTGACTATCTGCTGTGACAAAGTCTATAGCCAGAAAAACAGATCCCTTGATGAGCTGAGTGTCTATTATAATAAGCAGCTTTATTCACAAAATCAACTTGTGTCAAGAAAGCCAAAGAGAACTGTGCTAACTGCTGAACATCAGTACAAACACCACCTTTCTTTATAATAAAGTACAATGAATGAATGAACTAGGTCCCTTCCCAAAAGAGAAACTATAAATAATAGTGCCCTAGACAACACAAAAGAGTAGGTATTGCCAAAAATTTGTTACACAGAGTTCAAATTCTATTGTGAGGTTGAAAACCCTGGCTTCAACACAATTTTGAAGATTTAAAACTATGAGGGCTGACAATAGTTCTTAAAGAGTGAAATGTAAGGGAGTAATACAGAATTATGATTTCTCTCCTTAAAACTGAGAAAAGAGAAAAAATCACCTGTGGGCTTACAATGCAAATAAATATAGTAGTTTTTACTTTACATGAAAATGGTAGTACAACTATCAGTGTGCTTAAGTAAGGGCATATATCTCCTTAAGTCTCATAATTGCCAGGTGAGTATTAGTATGTCAATTTTATGATTAATTCTTCCAAGGACACTCTGAACAGATTCCAATTCAGGTTTGTCTCTTAATCTTAAATTTTATCACAATAACTTGTTCACAGAAAGAAATCAGTATTTGATAACTGAAGATGCAAATTAAAAATAACCCATCATCCATAATTTACATATCCAATAGCCTCAATTATTTGGAAAAAATTAGAAAACTGACAATAAGAGATCTCTGAACACAAACTAAAGTTTATCCACTTTATAACACAGCTTCTAGACCTAACTCAGCACTGATTTATTCTGAGTTATATTATTCTAAAAGTTAAAATTTTACAACCACCCTGGGAAAATGATCATTTTATTCCTGTTTTATACATGAAAAAATTGAGATGAAAAGGAAAGTGAGTTTCTTAGTCACAGGGCTAGTGACTTTTCACTCCCACTCCTACTTCTAAGAGATCTGGAGTAGACCACTCTTGTGGAGTTTTAGAGGGAAGACGGCAACCCTTACATACTTTCCACAGGGCTAATAGGTGGGGCTGCTGTGCCTTTAAGAAAGAGGGTTATGGGGATAAATGAAGTTCCTCTGGGACTAGGCCAGCCTCTCTAGGGCAAGAGGAGACTTGGACTTGGGGCAAATACCCTAGTCAGAAATAACTCCTAGCATTTGGGCCAGCCCGGTGGCGCACTGCTACAGTGCACCGCTTGAGAGCGCGGTGGCGCTCCCGCCGAGGGTTCGGATCCCACATACAGACCGGTTCCCGCTCACTGGCTGAGCGAGGTGCGGGTGCGACACGGAGGGTTGCGATCCCGTTGCCGGTCCCGGTCCGGTACGGGTGCGACACTGAGGGTTGCGATCCGTTGCCGGACACGAAAAAAGACAAAAAGGAAAAAAAATAAATAACTCCTAGCATTTATTGAGCAGTCCTCTTATGATTGGCACTATGCTAAGTGTTTTGCATATATTATCTCTAAGTCTTTACAAAATTTTTCAAAATAGTTACACATACATTTCATATTCCACTATGCAGACAGGAAAACAAGTTCAGAAAGGATGATTTGTCCAAGTAAATAGTAAGCCAGGATTCAAACCAAGGATGGTAGGACCTTAAAGTCCAATTCACTTCACTAACCTAGGGTTTCCCGAACTTGGATCCATGTCAGAATCACATAGGAACTTAACGATAGTAACAACAAAAACAAATTACTGAGCCTTTCTTCATATCTACCACTCAAAACCCTCTCTATTCACAGGTTAGAGAATAGGAATCTTTTTTTGCCAGCTGGCCAGCATGGGATCCAAACCCTCGACCTTGGTGTTATCAGTACCATGTTCTAACCAAGTTAGCTAACCAGCCAGCCCCTAGGAAACTGTATTATTTTAAAAAGCTCCTACAGGAGTTCCAATGTGACCAGTGTGACTGGTCCACACAGGTTCATGTAATTAGAAATTTTCTATCATGGCAGAGCTTGTTTTCCTCACAATAGCAAACAAGTAAGGTTCATCACACTTATAATTTTCCCCTAAAAGTTCAACTTATTCACTATGAAAAAATAACAGACATCTTTAAGAGCATAAATAATATTCTAGCTCTTCAAAATAAGTTAAAAAGGGACAGGGGATATAGAACCATTTCATTTCATATATCTCAAATATATGATAAACAAGGAGAAATACACTCATATATTTCAGAAAGATGGAATAACTTGATGCAAGGATATCAAAATCTACACACAGGTAAAAGCAATAAGCAAAGCAATCAATTTAAAAATTTATGCTTAGATCCCTTTAAATTCAGAATAAATGGGGGTTTAAAGGCCTTCAAAGGAGGAGTCTGAATCCAATTCTCAGCAGCGGTTCCAAGAAAATGGCAAAGATGATATCCTTGCCTGATGGGGTGGGGCCATGAAGAAAAAGAGACGCTTCAATAGTATTGACAGGTTGATGAGCTGATAACATTCTCCAGGGCATGATTTTATCTGGAAAAAGACAAGAGACATTGACTAATTTAAAATCAGATTTTATAAAAAGGGAATATGTCAAAATATTAATAGTGGCTCATTTGGGGGAATAAGATTATATGAAATTTTAATTCTTAATTTGGGTTTTTTAATTTTTTTAATGAATCTAGATTTCTTTTATAATGAGAAAGAAAATTTGACATTATATTTAAAATCAACACTTTGTAATTTCTATTTCCCATTTTCATAATAAGTTAGTATGTTAATCCTCCTACTGAAAGACAATTCATGGAAGTTTTTAAGATCTAACACAATAGTGCAGAGGTGGATATAACTCTACAAGATGGAAGCCTCATTAAAAGATTCATAAACTCAATTTTGTAAATTCCTATCATAATGCACTGTCATTCAATCCTGGAATCAATTCCTATCATAATACACTAAAAGAGATTTTATCTAAAGGATACTTGAGACATAAAACACATGACATAAAAATCACTCTTTATTTTTTTTGTGCAAGATGTGTTAAGGATTTAGTAAAGGGGGTAAGTGACAGCTATGGAGATGGAGATGTCAGCTGTTCAGGTTACTATACACCTAATCGGATTTAGTCTACAAAATCGTTAAAAGATAAACCAGGAGATAAATGAAACAATAACTCTACCAGGAAACAAAAGATGCACGAGCCCACCTAAGATGTTTATCAAAGGCCGGAGACAAAAAACCATAACAATAACAGGTGACAACCATCTCATATGGATCACAACAAACATCTCAGAATTTAAAAGCAAAAAAAAAAAAAAGTCAATGTTGAAAAAATGAAAAGAAATCATTATTAAATCATTTTTTCTTTGTACCCATCCACAAAAGATCATTTCTTTTTCCAAAAGCATTTAACTATTACACTTAGTCCCTCTCAAATCATCCTGACTGAAAGAAATATAACAAAATCAAGAGTCAGCTTGTCTAAATCATATTAAAGAGAGAGAGAAAGAGATGGAACTCTTGGCCGTCAACATTGCAACTCACTCTTCTTATCTACTTTGCATTCAATTTTATGCTTATTCTCAATTAACCTAGTCTTTCTTTCCCAGAACAATTAGTGGAACTCTATAAAATTTTGAAAATATGAGACAATTTCCCCAGTTTCATACCAATTTTTAAAATAAATCCTTAAAAGCATCAACATTAATGCACAGCAAAGAAACTGTCAAAACAATTTAGCTACCATGCTATTTGTCCTGTTGATATTTACATTCCTTAAGATTATTCTATCCCCAAAGGAACTACATGGAAAGTGAGTACTTTAGGCCTGTAATTCTACTCACCAGATGAGCCACTATGGTGACATGGTGTGCACAGAGCTCAGCAGTTCCATATCTGTTTATATGGAATCAGGTTTATACAATTATTCATAAAAGCAAGGGAATGAACTTCCATAAAGCACTAAGTATTCTCACACAGAAATATAAACTGCCATTATTTCATGGCTAATGAATATCACAATATACAAAACCATCTAGGCAATACTCATCTACTGGCCTGAACCAAAGAAAGGAAAGAGGGAAACTATTTCTTAACTTACTGCTATGATATGAAATCAAGCCATTTTGGCACAATATTAAAGGATTACTGAAACAGAATTTTCTATAAACTTACAAATATACAATCATTTATTAGTCACCACTAATAATCAATACAAACACCAAAAAAGCAAGTATGTTGTACCGAGCAAGGAAGCACCATGCATCCATAGCTAACAAAGAGGTGACCATATTAGCACTAAGCACGGCATTCAACAGAGCAGCATCCTAATGAAAAACAGAAAGGTTAATTCATTTAAATGCTAAAATTCATGATAAATTATCATTAATATTACATTTCTCAAAACAAGAAAGCACTATTAGAATTCAAAAAACAGATCCTCAATGGGAAAGCTTTACTTTCTAGAATATGAGAAACATGCTGCCATTCTCTCAACATTTATTAAGCACCACTATGTTAAGCATTGTGCTGGGCTATGGGGATTCAAAACTGATTTTAAATGTGGTAACTCAATCACTAAGATCCACAAAGATTCTTTAAGCACTTGAAATCTCTTAAAACAACATAAATAACATATATGCATATACTTTTCTTTCTCACTTAACTATTCACATACAGTATTTAATATGTGTTAGATATTACCCATTGTATAATATCTTAAATGATAATGATCCTTATGTAAATTCTAGTAATTTTTTCCTAAAATTTTCTCAACCTTTTTTTAATCCAATTCTTTAAAAAAAAAAAAAAAAAAAAACCCTCTACATTATGCCTAAGATCTGTAGAAGAACTGGTACTACATACTAACTGCTATGTACTTTTCTTTATGAAACTTAATTAGGTAAAATCCTACACATTTTTCCCTCTTCTCACTCTGTCTTTCCATACCTTCCCACCCAAAATGTCTTCTTAAATATTTTAGCTAAATATTACATAGTAGGGCTGGCCGGTTAGCTCAGTTGGTTAGAGCATGGTGCTGATAACACCAAGGCCCAGGGTTCGATCCCTTTACCAGCCAGTTCCAAAAATAATAAATCAAAATAAATAAATACTACATCTACTTACTATAGGAATTTAGGATTACCATTTTCCAGGACACAACTGAATTAAAGGGTAAAGTGTACAAGCTGAGAATGACATTCAAAAGGAATATAAACTATTCCCATACTTTCTTCTGTATACGAATCACAATTTCAACAACAAAAAAAAAAAGCAAAAGTGTAACCTCAGCTTAGCCCAGCAAGTAACATGCTTACCAGTTCAGGAAACAGAGAGGGATGAAAGGAAGCAATAAACGTACACAGATGAACACAGACATGCTGATACAAGGTGACAGCCACCTCAGCTTGCCCTTTACTCTTTACTCCCTGTACCTGAACAGGTAGAGAGAGTTCACCAGAACACTGCTCAAAACTGTAGAAAATGGCTTTGAGTAGAGATACCCTGTGGGGAAATGGAGAACATTAAACCCAATATTAATAACATTTAATAATTAACAGGTATAATAATAATCTGTCACATGGAGAGTTATTTTAGCAAAGCAAAATGTCTCAAAAAAGTATAATCAACAATAGTTTCCAATATGTGTAAATATGTTTACATGAAAATAAAACATATTCACTATTAGAGAAATTCCTAAAGGGAAAAAATTTTCCTGAACTTTTTTTTCATCATTTACCAACTGTTTATCATAGTACTGTTGTACAATGTCAAAGACAAAGTTCCTCAAGGAACTTGAAACTTATATAGCTAAATTATATATTATACGTAAAACAGAAAGTAAGTATTACAGTTCAGACAGGGAGGAAGGGGTTATTTTAAGACTGAATGGTTGAAGAAACTAACAGAGGATTTAAATGACAAATTAAAAATAGGCAAGATATAAATAGGTAAAGACAAAGCATAAATAAAAGGCAGTCACAAATAACCAGTTTGACAGAAGCAAGGTGTATGTGTTGAAAATGAATAAAAGGAAGAAGAGCAAAAGTAGAAGACGACAACACAATGAGATGAGCTTTGAATGTAAAGCTGAGGAGTTCTGACGTTACGCTTCAGTTTTTGAGCAGGAGAATAGGAAGCTCAAAGCCAGGTTTAGGGAGACTAACCTCATAGTAGTACAGAGTATGGGCTAAAGGAAAAAGCAAAAAATTAGAGCATAGCAATAATCCAAGTAGTAAGAAACTAAAACCTGGATTGCTGTGTTGGCAAGGAGAATGATTACAAGTGACATTTCCTAGGAGATACTTTATAGTATATGGTATATGTAATTAACTTATTTTTAAATGTTGCTACTTACATTTACTCTAGTGTAGTCAATATTTATAATGCTGACCATTAGGTAATAAACACTAAACAAAATTAAAATATTACAATATTTTTAGTATCTGATACGATTTATTTTATATTTATTTTTATAAAATAGGAAGATATATATGAGGTCTACACAGTAATTATTAACTAGAATATTTGCCATAACAAAAAACTAAACTTCAAAACCATTGCAAACAATAGGGCATTCTAACCCACCAGAAATATTAGATACAAACAACATGTTTGCTACCTGGTTGTAGCTTCTGAGACCTGGTTTTCTGTGCACCACAGGGTTTGCACATCCTTAGGCTGAGAGGGCAGCTTATCCATGACAACAACCAGGAGTAGACACTGTGGAAACTGCAGTTCACATGGCAGGTCTTATGGGTAACAGAAACACATTAATTAAGTTACAACAAATTTGTAACAATACCCTAAATATTTTCTGCAGAAACCTGATTGTGATATGTAAGGAAATTAGAGGAATGATTTCTTTAAATGAGTAATATATTTCAAGAAAAGGAAGAAGAAGGAATTTTAAATAAAATTTTGAAAATTCTAAGAATGACTACATAGGGGGAAATAACTGTCTCAAACATACCATAATTAACAGGAGATGATTTAACATTAAATCTGTTTTGAAGCTTACCTAATTTACTGTCCAAAACCACCTGCACGAAAGGCTGGAATGTGAGCAGGTGGCTGATGAGTGGATCCAGTGTCACTAGGAAAACACCCACTATTTCTTCTTCTTGTGCTTTAGAAATCCTGGCAGCATATAGGCTTGGAGGAAACTTGCTGGAAAAGGAGAGAAAAAAATTCACTCATTAGTAGCTATTTTCTAATCTTAGGTAGAGTACACCTAGTTTCTATAACATCTGATGTGCTAGCAGTGAAACATATAAAAAAAAGTAGTGTGCATTTCATGAAACAAACTTCAAAGTACTGAATTGATACCAGAATTGTGTAAAGACCTCTGAACTAAATAAATGGCTATAATTCTATAAAATGAAAAGTTTATAATGTTGGAAAAAATCTTTAGTATTGTTTTGAGGTATTTTAATACCATTTTGAGAGTGGTATCCTTAAAAATACTGTGAAAATATGAAAATTAAATCGACTAGTAAAAACATCATATGTAAAAAAAAAGAAATTTCTGATAAATTCTGGCTTAATTACTTCTATTAAACTTTGTTTCAGGGCCAGCAAATTAGCTCAGATGGTTAGAGTGCAGCCTTACAACACCAAGGTCATGGGTTCAGATTCCTGTACTGGCCAGCCGCCAAAAAAAAAAAAAAGTTGTTTTAACTCAGGTAGACACTGAAGTTACTATGAATGCTCAGATTCTCAGAAGCAGAGCTTTACAAGAAATAGACTGTATACTAACAATGAAGGAGGACAAAGACTTTTTCATGGAAATGTCTCAGTAACTGGGGTTTGAGCTAAACTTTAATCAAAACCTACATGAAATAAGATATGTATTCAATATTTTTTGCCATGTTAATTGTAGTAAACTTGATAGTACATGAACACTGTCTAGCATGGGATAACAGCATTTAAAAGGATGCACTTAAGATAAACACTTGAGGTCTTTGTAGTGTGATGGAAAAAAGCACCAGTCTGTTGATTTTTAGTTTTGTGACTCTGGTTCATTCATTTGGCCTCCCTGAGCCTCAGTTTCTTCACTTGTGACATTGATTCAGAGTTATTGTGAAGAATAAATAGTAAGTAAGGTAAAAGACACATATAAATAAAATATAGGTAGTGAAATTCCACAGACTTGAACTATAGCTACTGAGCAAAGCGATATTTTTTCAATCAAATGATGTACTTTAGGGCTGGCCCGGTGGCACACTGCGCTAGTGCGCCACTTGAGAAGCGCGGCAGCGCTCCCGCCGAGGGTTCGGATCCCACATACAGACCGGTTC